TGAGCTGGAGGTCCTGGATTCTCTGAGAGTAGACTGAGCAAAGCAAGGGGAGCAAGCCAGTAAGCAGCACTCCTCCATGGCTTTGCAGTAGTGCCTGACTCCAGGATTACTCTGGTCTTGAATTCCTGCTTTGGATTGCTTAGATGATGGCTTATAGGATGTGAAAGCTTAAACCAAATAAACCATTTGGTCTAACTTGCTTTTGGTCATAGTGTTTCATCATAACAAGAGAAATGCAACTTAGGACAGTGTAGGAGCTCCTTATTTTAAAATATATTAGGACACATTAATTTCAGTACTATAAACAACAGAGATTCAAATTTAATTATGATATGATTTTTAAAATTATGAACATTGGTAAATTGTTATTATTGTTTAAAACATTGTATTCTTTCCCTAGTTTTCTTTCCATTGCCATTTAATTCTCTTTTGGAAATTCTCACAGTATTGTTCTTGAAAAATATTTATCAAGATATTTTAGACATGCCTATATATTTAGAAGTTGCACATCTAATTTTATGGGTATTTCTTATTCTTTTAGTAAATACTGTAGAAAATGGGATACTTGTCAGTAATTCAGTCCAAAGAACGCTGAATATATAGTAAAGTACAAGATACAAGATGGATTTCAGTTTTCTGATTTCTACTTAACATTTATTTTCTACTAAATATCTCAAGAAAATTTTTCTGAGTGAATAATTCCAGCAGTTCTGGTGTTTTCATCATTTTATATAACTTAAAATTTCTATGTTGTTCATTGTGAATAGCACCCACAAAAAATGTGCTACATTTGGAATAACAATAGTCCATCATACATTGTTATTTTCATTATAGAAATTGATAAATATTATGAGAAAAATACCTCAAACTGATATTACCTCAACTTGTTATTTATCTAATGTTCAATACTAGCACCCTGAGTCAGTGCCATCCTATTGATTTTTGGTCTTTTCTATTTGTAGTTCAAGCCTTTTCTTGAAAAGGAAAAGTAATAATGAATATTCTAATCTGTATCTCTGTTATCTTTTCTTTAAGCAACTAGGTTCAAAACACTCGCACTCTTAATTTCTCTAGAAAAAAATAATATAAAGAAAATGGACAAATCTGATCAGTTGATACTTTTTGTCATGTTTTTATATTGTGAATATGCAGACACAAAATATAGCTTTCATTGGGGTATAAATGTGGACTCTGTATAGATCATCCTAGTTTTGTATTCCTTTGCTGGAGATTGAATCTTTGGCCTGCACATGCTAGGCAAATACTCTTACACCTGTCCCTACAGACCGTGTGTGTGTGTTTGAATGTGTATGTGTGTGTGTGTGTGTGTGTGTGTGTGTGTGTGTGTGTGTGTGTGTGTGTGTTTGTGTATGCACATGAATAATGAAAATAATTTGAATACAGTACAACTAAAGAGTGAAGGACATAGTTGAATAGGGAATTTTAAAGTTAAAGTGTTTTCATATTAGTTAGCTCCTGAAACTTAGATTTGACTTATTTTTTTGTAGGGTTTAAAATGTCATATTCTGTTACATTCTTTCTACATTGACAGGGAAAATATGATTGACTTAATACTTATGAATATAATATTCATAATAAATATGTTTTTTCACTAGAAATATATACTATAGAAGATATAGATTATAATTTTCTCATAATATGTTATTTTAATGAAAAATAGTCAGATTCCAAGTTTATTTTCAGTCATGAGCTAATCTGTCCTCTACTAAAGTATAAAAATTGCATATATTTTCATTGATTCTAAAAAATGTTATGTAAGATATACCATTTCTTTAAAAGTAATGTTTTGTAAAATAATTTTAGATTTATGTCCTTTAATTTTCTCTGTTTTGGAATGCATAATCTTATTTCAAAGACATTTCATTCCAATTCGTAATGTTTTTGTACAATGAATTTATTGTCCCAGATTTTCTTGTACATAAAATGTATTTTTCCTTCAGAATTTCATGCAAAATTATTTTTATTATATTCACATCTCACTCATCTAATTCCTGTACATTCCTGCCCACCTCCCTAACTACCCCCATATTTCTGCCCAATTTTTTGCTGCACATTTGGTACAGAGGAGTATCTTAAATATTTTTCATATTGTTAGCACAAAAGGGAACTACATGAGAGTCTGCCCAATAATCAGTTCACAGTTATATTTCTAGCAAAAACAAACCAATAAATGTTTATGTTTGAGAGCTTTTTTGAAAATCCTTATGTATATCGAAGACTTAAAAAAATAATAGTAAGTTTAAAATATTATATTTTGTACTCTCTTTCGTTTGCAAAAAAATGTAGAGCAATTTTTCTTCATTTCTTGACAGCCATTCTTAGGGTTTATGGTACTTTCTTACATTCTTACATTCTTATATTACATTCTTAGGATTTACATTTATATACTCCTTGTTGCTTTTCTTTTAAGGTTTTACTGACTCCTCTAATATTTGTTAATCTGTTTATCTCTATAATTCTTGTTATTGTATAGTGTATTAACTGGAGTTATGAAATTATATTTTAAAGCAACAGTTTGGCATTTTTCTCAGGTCAAAACAAATAGCTAAGAATAGCTTAGGAGTTTCTACTAATTTCATTCAGCGTAATAGCAGGCAAGTGTTGTACAGAGTCCTGAAAACTCACTATCTAGCATTCTGTTGGATTCTGCCTAACAAGATGTTTAGAAATAGAAACCAGCTTATGCCATGACTAGTTCAAATCTTGGATTGGCATGAAGTCTTTCACTGCCTAAGATAATCAAACAGTTCATGTAATCACTCTTCTATTGGCTATCTGTTAAGCTAGGCTAAGAAGCAATCCACCTCAGAACTCTTGTTATTATTTTTAGGCCATATAGCCCATTTAAACTCAAGAATGAACAAATTACTTTAGATTTAGAGCGTACATTCAAGGTGAGAGGTATGATTTAGAAGTCGGCTACACTATACCATTTTCAATTGCATTAACTTTCTACAAATGTGCACTGAAGAGTATGCTGGTTATGCCTTAAGTTAGAGAAAGGACCACATTTTAATCAGTATCTGATCAGACAATTACTTCAGGCTGTGATTGGGAAGGCTTCTACAGCTACCAGTCACAATTCTGATATTGTATCATTAGTTAGAGACCCACTTGTCTGGAGGATCTCTGTGTATAACAGAGACAGTCTCTTACTACAATACAGAAGGCTCTGGTTATAACTATGACCATTGTTATTTTAATCACTGTGGAAAGAAACTTGGTTAATGTTTTGTCTGAAAAAAAGGGAACTGTTTTAATTAGTGTAAAAGGAATGATCTCATTAATCAATCTTGGAATATTTTAATAAAAATAGTTTAAAGGTAGCTTTTTATAATATTCCATACTATTCTTATACCTTTAATAAAAACATATGAAGGAATAGTTATTCTTCAAATGTATCTTTTAAGGAGTGGTTATTTTGTAATTTTTATTTTCATTGTAATTCCATTCTTCAGCTGCTTGAAATTTTTGGTTTTCCTTATTAAATAAATAGACTCTCATGTCATTCATTTAATCATGAACAAAGTGTTGGTGTTGCTCTTTGAATTGATGTTTGACAAAGAATAAGGTGGACAGAGTTTATTACCTTATTTGCAAGAAGTTACCAAATTAACAGTACACAATAGAAAACTACAATTTGACATATTAATGCAAAATTTAACATAATAAAGTGATGGGAATATAAAGGAAATTGGGTTTAGATTTAACAGATTATGTTAAATACTAATTTAAATAGATAATTTTAAATATATTGATTTAAATATTCCACAGTACAAATAAATATCAAAATGTCACACAATCAATATATAGTTTTGTTTTTAGAAAGAGAGAAGAAAGCTAGAGATGGTAATGCTTATGGAACAGATTCTAGAAAGCACCAAGTGTAGGAAGTCTATTCATGCAGTGTCCTACCTCCTTTTCTTTTTTTATAGATATCCTTTAATTTTTACTTGAGTAATATTATGTTCTACAATTCTTTATCAAAGAATAACATCTCTCATGTTTTCATATATATGTATACATATGTGTGCTTTTATTCAAATATATATATATATATATGTATATATATATATATTAATTATAAACCCAGGAACATTTTGAAATCCAAGTTCAGTCTTTGGAAAGGAGAATTATTAGTAATATAGTATCACCATCAGAACTATACCTTTATTTGAATGATGAGTTAAGATACTTACAATTAAGATTTTGCCTTATTCTTTACATTTAAGAGGATTTTTTAAAGGTCATTACATACTTTAATGTAAACCTTACAGTCTTTTCAGCATGCTGTTATAAATTAAAAAGTATTACAGTCGTGTAATCACATGAAATTATAACTATATTAAGATTAGTTATTATTTTTCTATTTCAACAGTAGCACAAATTCAATTGTACAGTTTCCATAATTCAAACTGTAAAGGAAAGTAGGGAAGGGAACAACCATACAAAACAGAGTAACAATTGAATTCAAAATAAATCCCTCAACAGATTGTTATCTAAATTTCTCTTTTCAAAATGAGCCTATTCTGAACAGGTTGTGTATGTGTCTAGCTGGTGGAAGTGGATTATCTGTCTTGAATTGGATTGTGATGACGGTGACCCTATTCTAAGTAAACTAAATCTCTTGAACTATATAATAAGATCAGGGGGAACACTCAGCCTGAGAACGCCAGATTGCAACAGCTGAGATGATTTGACTGATGTTTTCTTCCAGCTTCTTCCTTTGATGTTCATGGTTCCATGACTTTTTCTTCAGACAATACTGATCCTGTTACTAAGTTGTCTTTTTTTCTTTCCTGTTTCTTTTTATTTATATAAGTAGTGCTTGATGAGTGCCAGAAAGCTACGCAATCAGTCTTACAAAAAGGTGATTGTTGAAGAGTCGACTTTCTTCAATGACTGTATGACAGGAACTACAGAGAATCTCCTAAGTGTAAGCAATTATCTAATTTATTCTTGTTTATTCTTCTATTTAGGCTTTGAGGAAACAAAAGTTGCTTGAACAGAGTATCCAGTCTGCCCAGGAGATTGAAAAATCCTTACACTTGATTCAAGAGTCCCTTGAATTCATTGACAAGCAGTTGACAGCTTATATTGCTGACAAGGTGGATGCAGCTCAGATGCCTCAGGAAGCCCAGGCAAGTATAACAAACTGGGAATGAACATTGATTTTATTTTTATATTTTTAATGTTTTTACACCAGTGAGATGCTGTTGGTGTCTAAATGTAAGTATTGTTTAATTAATTGTGAAGAGGTTTCCTTTCATTTACTCATTTCACTGTTAGCCTTTTTGGAAGTAAGAGATTAAAAATGTCCATGTTATAATTCTGAGATTTATTTTCCAAAGTATGCAGTGCACCAAATTTAAATAGAGATTATGAAGCCAAGATATGTGATATTTATGGCCCACAAATGTTTCTGAACCAAACATTTGTCACAAACATATATGTTATATATTGGGATTTAAAGTTCTAAAATATGTTTCTGATTTTAATATGCTACAAGTACCTGGCAACATGGTGGAAAAAAATATACATCCTGCTACTATTCATCACACTAGACGTGCTCATGTGGCAGAAACTCACATACTCCCATGATTTCAAAACACATCATAAATTGTTTCTAATTACATTTTCTTGAAAATGAGATTAAAGTAGAAATGAATCCTATATAATCTGTAATTAAATCAGTAAATTGCATACCCTAACATATGTTATATGGTATTTTAAGTAGCTCATTTGTTTTTAAGTAACATGTAAATGTATGTGTAGTCACATGTGTATCATTATTTAAATTTATTTTTAAGATTTATTTATTATGTATACAATGCTCTGCCTGCATGTGTGCCTTCCTGCTAGAAATGGGTGCCAGTTGTTATTATGGATGGTTGTGAGTTACCATGTGGTTGTTGTGAATTGAACTCAGGACCTCTGGAAGAGCAGCAACTGCTCTTAAACATTGAGCCATCTCTCCAGTCCCATTATTTAAAATTCTTAATCATGAGCTATATACTAGAACAGTAAATAGCTACTTTGCAAATCATATATATATATATATATATATATATATAGTATAATTAATATCTCTAAGAAATGATGAATGAGGTATTAGAAGTAATGGAAAATACCCATAGTTCCTACTCTATCTTATTTATAGAGATTCTGGAGCATTTCACTTTAAAAGGCAAATAGCTATATAAAATATAGCATTTGTAAATCATGGCTACAAATGATCACACTGTACTGAATCACAATTTGTTGTTGAGAGTATCAATAGACACACTAGCATTTAATAGTTTACCATATTGTCCACATTTAGCAAATGAGCATTTGGGGAAATGATAAGATTTTTTTCATAATATGGCAAATTCCAGAGAAATAGATTCCTTATGGAGTACATGTTATTACAATAGACAAATAATGAATTTAATGTGGAGGTGAATTCTGGGGTTAAAATCAGGCTTGGGAACAAAATAATAAATTATATAATGGAAATAGAGATAATATCAATTTTGTTTTTTATTTGATTACTCCAATCTAGGCATAAAGAAAATAGCCTTATGAAGATCTAGTCAAGTATTGGAGTGTTAATCACTTGTGTGACTCTCTAAAAATGCAGCACTTTTAAAATAGTGATAAGAAACTGATACTAAATTGAGAACTACACGAATGCAAATTAAATTCAAAGTAGGAGTTCTACTTAAAAAAAAAAAAAAAACAGTGGGATGTCCTTGGTGGTATGTTTGAATATAGAATGACTGAAGGTTTTTTCTGAATAGAAGGAAATAATTTTAATGTTATGATTTTGAAAATTTAAAAAAACATACTTAAATATTTAGACTCAGTTTTCAGGCTTTTAGAATGAAATCGTTAAGGATCACATTAAAGATAAGATATTGGCTTAAGTAAAAATTAGAGCTGTTGGGAAATAACTTGTTTTTTAAAAGAACATGGCTTGATTCTGCATATAATATAATAGTTTCTTTGGCATTCTAAGTTATAAAATCTCAGCCCTGAAATCAGACATACAAATATAATTTTATACAGATTTAAAAATATATACTTATATATATATGAATGCTTTTATATGTATGTATTAAATATTAATATGTTAAATACAGTAGTTGAATATTACTTTAAATTAACATCTCTGTTAAACTGATATGCACCAAATGAACTTAGATAGACTTAAGAGTCCAAACAAGTTCAAATACAATTTCCATGTGTTTCTGACTCCACTTAACATTTTTAAAAAAAATATTTATTTTACATTCCAATCATGATTTCCCTTTCTTCTTCTCCCACTTCCTCCCCTTTACAACCTGTCTACCCTCATCCCAATAAACTCTTCCTCCCTTTTCTCTTCTGCAAAGGGCAGGACTGCCATGGATATCAACAAAACATCACGTATCAAGTTGCAGTAAGACTAAGCACATTCCCTTGTATTAAGGCTGAACAAGGTGACTTAGTATGAGAATTAGGGTCCCAAAATCATGTAAGAGTCAAGACAGCACCTGCTTCCATTGTCCATTGTTTAGAGGTCCCAAAACAATACCTTTACATGTATGTAAAGGGCTTAGGTCAGATCTGGGTAGGCTCACTGTCAATTCAGTCTCCCTGAGCTCCTATGATCCCCGGTTAGTTGATTCTGAGTTTGTTGTTTTTGTTGTTGTTTTGTTTTCTGATGTACTTCACCCATCTGACTCCTACAATCCTTCCTCCCTTTATTTAGGGAGCTTAGTCTTAAATTTGATTGTGGGTCTCTGTATCTGTTTCTGACATTTGCTGTGTGAAGTTTCTCTAGTAACTCTTGGGCTAGGTACCAATATACGGGTATGGCAGAATATTGCTGGCATCAGTACTTAAACATTTTTTTCTCTGTAGAAGTGTTTGGTTATATCCTGGGTCTTTAGGGTCTCCATCATCTGGGTCCTGATGCTCCAGGCAGTGTCAGCAGTGGGCTCACTATTGTGGCATGGCTTTCAGCTGGACCAGTCATTGGCTCCCCATCTCTGCATTACCATGATCCAAGCACATCCCATAGGCATGACAAACTGAAAAACAAAATCAAATCAATTTTCTCTGTGTTTCTGGTTCCTCTTAACTTTATAAGGTATTCCTTGTCCCCTCTGTTACATATATGACAATATGTAACATTGGAGAATAAAAAACACCTGAAAAATGCTGAACATTATTTCATCCCAACCTGTTCTTTGCCAATGACCATAAATAGTTTTCTGTAACAAAGTTATGAAGTACTAGATTTACTTGAATGGTTGTATTTCCTAAAGTTCCAGATGCAATGCCTGTTGAAGGCAGAGTTATAGAGAATAGAAACAGTCTGAGAAGTAAGAATTTATGCAGGGTTTCAGACATAGGAGCAACTTAGAATGCCAGCAAAATTACATTTTCTGCTTCTGTCCATGATGAAAATAGATTTGAATGTTTTACATTGAAAGAAAAAGATTGAAACACGATTCTTTAAATATAGGTCTTGGTTTGATATGAATTTAAAAATGAGTGGGCTTTCTGTTCCCTATCAGAAATTACATTCTTGTTACAATTCATCAATAAGAAAGAGACAAAAAGAAAACAGTGCATTTGAATTATTTCTGTGGTTTCTATTCATTTACCTAAGAACTTAGATTTTCTCAGAGAATGCTGATCCTGGAGATTTGTGAGTGTCTGTCTCCACCATGTGGTATACCACTAGTTTTGCTACTAAATAGGATTTCTAAAAACATCCTTCCTTTTCTTCAGTTTAAATTGAAATCCTCATGTATAAAACTATTGTGTCTGTATGGGAATATATGCCATGTGACAAACTTCTAACATTTGGATCATACTTCACATAAAAGTATATACAGATTATGATACTTCCACATTTATGTTCAGAAATTGCCAAGTAATTCATTATTTCTACTTATCAATTGTCTAGCATAATGAGAAATCAGAAACTTATACATCCAACTTTTAGAAAAATTATGTTCTCTAGTAGTTAGTTATATGTATTTACATAAGCAAAGCTTAACAATTTTTATCAGAAAACTCCACACTTAAAAGATCACATGTTATCCTATATATTTTATTTCAAATACTAATAATTAACAAATCACCATTTGAAATGTTTCAGCTTTCTCATGCTATGTATACCATAAATTGAAACAAGTAAGATAAAACACACAATCTCATTTAGATAAAGATGGGTATCTTCTAGGTAGTAAAATCCTACACATATGGCCATAAAAAACCACTATGAATAAAAATGCCAAAATCCTTAAGTATTTCTTTGAAGCAACTACACAAATAAAGTTATGTAATTGATCTGGCAGTGGTGGCATATGCCTTTTTAATCTTAGCATTCCAGATGTAGAGGCAGGAGAATTTGTTTAAGTTCCAGACGAACATGAACTACATAGTGAGTTACAGGACAGCCAGTACTGTTACAGAGAGAAACACTGTTTTGAAAATAAATCACCCAATTGTATTAATAGCAAAAATCACAGAACACTAATAGTTTATTTCTTAACATTCCATAGCAATGTCTGGAAGCACTGAGATTTATATTTACAATTCAGACCAGGTAATTAAAAGAATCCAAACACTCAAACGACACTCTCTAGAATTATTAAGTCAGGGTACACCCAGTCAGCATAAAGTTTAGAAACTCTTTTGGTTACTCTGATATAACTGAAGTGGAGAGCAAAATTGTTTCAGCTGGGGTATTTTTGTTTTTCTATATTTCAATCCTTAACAATCTAATAAAGATTTTACTGGTGACTCTCTACTGCTTTCAGATGAAGAAAGTCAGAATGACCATTTACTTATTGCTGGATATTTTCCTATTTTGATTGTACCATCATTAGTATAGAAAATGGGTGAAAACAGTAAAAAATGGGTGAGAATCACTATATATAGTTTACATAGTAGAATATACAATGTGGATGTACATTTTTAAATGAATTTAGACTTATTATTTTCTCTATTTCTAACTCCATATACATGAATGTGCCAACTAACGAAAAGAATCATTAAATCAATTTACTGGACACAGGTAAATATATTTAAATATGTATATGTAAAATGCAATTCAGGTATGTTTCAGAGCAACATTTCTTAAAATGATGTTTTTAAGTGGCATTGTCTAAGAAGAGTATATTGATAAAGTAGAATATAAAAGGTAAGTATAAAGTAGGTACAAATTATTACTTGAATAAATAATATGTCCAATTAATTTATAAGTGAACTAGAAAAATACATCACATGTCATATAATGTTGCTGAGGTAGAATCAACTGGAAATGTTTAATCATTTAATTAATAATTCATAAATTGTATTCAGTTTTTATGTATAATTATATTTTGAGTTTTTCTACAGTATAAACATCTTTATATTTAACATACAAAATTTATTTCACCACTTAGTTTCTTTTATATGCCTAATCTACTTAACAAATTATGAAAATTTAATATCTAATCAATTTGGAACAGTGCCATTAAGTGACAAATTGGCATAAAATCACACATATTGTGACAAGTTTCATTATTGTAAGATGCACTTCATGAGTTTTACTGTCCATTTAATATTTGAATGCTTGTAGCATTTTGAACAATATAAAGACTCATTTTTCTCTCTGACATAATTATGTGATGTAAATAGGAACAGTTCAAACTCTCTGAAATCAATCCACTGTATTCAAATTTCCCAACCTCCTCTGCCATGCTACCTGGTCCTTCACATACCCTGGTAGCAGATGGACATTGCATTTCTGTTTGCATATTGGTAAGTTTAAAGTGTTTCTGTTCTTTATAAATCATGAAAAAGATTTAGGTTTTTTTGTGAAAATATGAGAAATTATTTATGAGGTGATATTTTTTATGCATTTAGTATGGTATTCTCCTTTCATACCCATAATTTGAAGAACTGATCTTTGTATGGTATGATACAACTCTCACATTTTCAACAAATTAAAAGAAATCATTGACCTTTACCAAATAATCCAGTTAAATTTTCTTGTCTTCAAGTGCTGATGAGCTATTTTATTCATACACCATTTTTAATGAGGTTTTTCTAATGAGGTTTTGTTTGACTTAATGAGTTTTTCACTTCCATCATCATGTCATATCTTTACTGAATTTTACTTTCATATCTTGAATTTACTTTCAAATTGAATTTTGTATTAGTGTGTGTTTGCTTAGAGTATGTTTGTGTCTTCTTTGAGTTATTTGTAAATATTTATCACAATTCTTTTAAATTCTTTATAAGTTTGTCTAATTCTTTCTCATTGGAAGCCATTGTTTCATAATCTTTGGAGGAGTCATGGTATCTTTTTGTATTGTGTTTGTTGCTGCAAGGGGCCTTATGGTTTTTGTGGAAGAGCTAATTTGTTTATATTGTACCCTATTTAAGGCTTCTTTCTCCTTTTAAGCAGAAATATCTGTAGCACTCACGAGAGGACTAAGTAATGATGAAATTTTCTTAAAATATTTCTCTAGAAATGTTCCTGAGTCAGCTATGACCAATAACCAGTTGAACATTTTCTGTAATTACAACAATTTTTAAGGATTTTGATTATCATATAGTAATATTTCAATATAGCAAGGTTATTTATTGAATTCCCTTCATTTGGCTTCCCATGAAAGGATGTCATTTTTATATGCCTTGATAATATTCAATTGCGTGTGTTTATTTCTTTATACTGTCATAAATTGATGGGCACATAAGTAAAATACATATATTCAATATTGTGAATATTGGGACAATAAATATGAGTATGTAGCAATCTATTTTGCATGCAGAATTTAATGATTTCAGATTTATACTTGGGAGTGGAGCAAGGGTATTATAAATTATATTTATAGATCATTAAATAGCCTCTGTATTGTCAAGTATATGAGTAATACTAAGTTGTATTGCTGCCAACAGAATATAAGTTCATTTATTTCTCTATACTTAATGGTACTTATTTGGTAATTTTTTAAAAATAATCGGGATTCAAGCTGGGGTGAGATGATATTTAATTTTACTATGATTTGTATTGCTGTAAAGGCTAACGTTTAAGCACATTTACATTTCTTTATTACTTACATTTAATTTTTGATAAATGTTTTCACATGAATATAATATTTTAGTATGATTCCTTATTGTTTGTTTCATTTTTAATTCCTTTCATATTCTGAATATCAATACTATTCAGAAACTCAGAAGAATTATTGCTAGATATCTTCTCACATTTCTGGGCTGTCTCTTCAATTTGTTGATTGTTTCCTATTCTGTGAAAAAGTTTTCTAGGCTTTTGTAATCACTTCCATCCTGTTTTGTTCTTCGTTTTTGTGCATTTATGGTCATGTATTACTAGTTAAAAGAAAAAAAAAAAAACAGTAATGACTAAAGGAATGTCTTGAAGTTCTTACTTGGTTTTCTTCTAGTAGTTTCAGATGATCTTCTCTTAACATTAGGTCTGATTTATTTTGATCTCTTGCCTTTTTAAGTTTGCATAACAATAACTGTCAAGTTTCAGTTTTTACATGGTGATATCCAGGCTGTCCTTCTCCCAAATTATAGCTGTAGTGCCCTTTGCAATAAAGCCATTTTTTGTTTGTCTTCTTCGTGTTTCCCTCACCTATGCTTTTGGGATTGCCATTGTAGAGGATATTCACTTTCTTGGTAAAATTAATTAATGTAATTGATAGCTATCCTTCTTTTAACTTATTTTTTATTTACTATCTGTGGCAAATAGTATTGCTTTATGGATTCATGCTTAGTCTTTTCACTAATGATATATAAGAATACATCTGAGTGACATGTATTTGTTTTACCTTTTTATGGCTTAAAAAACTGTTCAAATTTCTTTCTATTGGGTTCAAATAAAAAAATACCATTAATTTTCAAAATAATGAATGCCATTAATGTTGATCATATTTTACCTCTTTTATCCTAAAACTACTTTAATTAGAAGAAGTTTTATTTGCACTTACAGGCACTGAAATTTTCACTGATATTTTGTCTGGCTTCATTATTCTTTACCTGAAGAGGATTTAATAAAAAGGTGTTGGGTTCTTATGGAAAAGATGCCTAGTCATTTCAATAGGGCCAGCAGGGAATAAAACAAATGTCTACATCAGCAAGCTTTCTCCTTACACCTTTGTGTTTTATTCAGAATTCAAGTTCAATGAATTGATGGCTTACAAAGTCAGGGATTTTTGCCCACAGTTAATTTTAGTTTATCTCCAGAAACATCGTTACAGACATACCCAGAAGTATGTTTCACTAATCTATTAGGCAATATTTAGTTCTTGATTGCTACGTATGGTTTAGTTAAATGCATACCAAATTTGTTTTTCACAAACTAGAGTTGCTTTTAGCTATAATGTTATACTCATCTATAAAAAATGTGTACAATTAAATTTAGTTAACTAAAAATAAAAATGAAGGAAAAATTTTGTTACATAAACAGGAATGTATCACAGGTAATAAAGGCAAAAATAACTTTTCCTTTAAAAGAAATTAAAATTTCTGGTATTGGTAATAGCCTTTTATTATAATCTCTAGTGATTTTGTGAACTACAAATGTTCAGCTGTCGGTCCTTTCTTGACAGCTCTAATAAGATTATTGTAGGTTTCTGACTGCTAATTAAGTGACCTTTATGCTCAACTGGCTCCCTCAGTGAAGTTGTTTGCAGACAGCTTGTCTGGGATTATCTATTGAAAACATATTCTGTAGGCTCTCTGTATTGTTTAAGGTTCATAGAGCATGAGATGATTTTATATGGGAATAAATATCCTAAGAATGAACATCCCCCAAATGTAGGAGTACAAAGTAACAAGCTTGTAATAAATATTCACTATATCAGGTTTAAGACAGTCAAATGCCCAGGCCAAAATCACAACAACTTTTTGGAAATTATTTAAAATAGTGTGCTTATTTAAAGTTCAAAAATCAATAGTTGTACAGACAGAAAATAATGGTGCTAAATACATTTAGATTTTCTTTCTGTTTGTTTCTGAAATATATTCCACATGTTCCTATGTTTGAACTCTTTCTTAGTGCTGGTGGTATACTTTTGGGAGGTTGTGGCACCATTTGTCTCCTGGATGGCAGAAATAGAACATTAAGTGTAGCCTTCTGGAGGATTATGAATCCTTTGTGCTAGTCTAAAATCTCTAACTCTCATGGACTGTACTATGTGATCAAGAAATGCTACCACAAGCTTCAATGTTATAGATGAAGTTGTGTTAGCTGCTGTGACTTCGTCACCATTTTGGAATGTTGCTTCTAAACCTATGAGACAAAATAAGGCACCACTGCCTCAAAATCTTTCTACCAGACATTTGGTTATAGCAATGAGGAAAGTAACTAATAATATCTGCTTATTCTATATCAGAAGTTTTCATGAACTTTAACAGAAATATACCAAATAATGAATGGGAAAAATCATTAGTAAGGAGCATGATATCCCAATAGGAATCTCATTGTATTTCTTCACCTCTATCATGTATTTTGGTCAAATTTGAGTAAACCTTAAAAACTAAACATATACTCAACTATACATATGACACTTAAACATAAACTCTCTATTAAATTTTTAATCTAAAGGATTATTAGAATAATTTCAATTTTGAAGAAAATAATTTCTTTTTTGAACATTTGGGGAAGTTTTAAAACATTCTTATCAACTTTGAGGAGTCTATGTTGTTGGTGATAGCTCAGGAGTATTTACAGAAAGGGAATTGCCTTTTGCAAAAACTTTAAGTATATGCTTGCTAATAGTGTTGTCTTTCCAACAGAAAATCCAGTCAGATTTGACAAGTCATGAAATCAGTTTAGAGGAAATGAAGAAACGTAACCAGGAAAAGGATGCCGCCCAAAGAGTTCTTTCACAAATTGATGTTGCACAGGTATATTTTATTGTATAAGCTAGGGAGTTTGTTTCGTATTATACAACTTTGTGATCAGAAAACTGAAAACTATACCATGGTGTCTATCAATTTAATACATAAAAATATTGTATACAGTTTAAAGATAAGTTAATATATGACTATTTAGTATCACATTTATAAAGTGTACAAAATTTTCCAGGTACATGTTCTTTGTGTTAGACAATGACAATTTTTCCTGTATTTTCTTTTAATTTTTATTCAGATAAAACTTTAGAAAAAGGGAATGGGATGGGATAGTGGTCGGGCGCATGGGATGGAGGGAGGGAGGGAGAAAGAGGGAACTGTGATCGCTATATAAAATAAATAAATAAAATGACAGAAAGAGAAAAATATGACTAGTCAATGCATTAACTAGTATTTTCTGCTGTTGCAGAAAAAATTACAAAATGTCTCCATGAAATTTCGATTATTCCAAAAACCAGCCAATTTTGAACAGCGTCTAGAGGAAAGTAAGATGATTTTAGATGAAGTAAAGATGCACTTGCCTGCACTGGAAACAAAGAGTGTTGAACAGGAAGTCGTCCAGTCACAACTAAGTCATTGTGTGGTATGTATTTCTACTGGCAAATACCCAGTTGCATTTTCACTTTGCCATATTAGGAGCATCTAGTGACCTTTTGTTACAGAATGTATCTCTTACAAGATTAACAATTCTAGCAACTAGTTTTAATATTTAAAAATGGTAACATGTTGACACAGGAGATTTTATAGAAATAATATTCATTTTAGGAATGTGTTTTTGATTCATTGATTTAGTTAATTTCTGCACAGTATAAAAAAGAGACCTATTTATGTAAGTTTTTTCAGACATATTATTAAATAAATCAAGAAATGATAAATATTAATGTAGAAACAGCAACTTCAGCAATAATTGTAATAGTAATAGCTGCTCTAGAAACAATGCTTCTGGGTAAGTCTAAATTATGTGCAGTAGTCATTTTTATTCTCAAGGTTAGAGATTGCCTGAGTGAAGTTAAAGACAAACAACTGTGAAGGACATGGCAGATTTCATTCTAGGTACTCCAAATCCTAATATATTTTCATTAAATAGCAGTGCTGAATATACACTGAAATGTCACCAGACAACAAAATAATAAAAAGATAAGGAAAGATACAACTTACCTATAGCATAAATCTATATACCTGTGGACATCTCATCAGTCTTTAAATCTGTCAGTCAGATAACCCCTTTGATAGCATAAAATGTTCATTAGTCTTATAAGATTTAGTTTTGGTTTTATTTCTACTTGATAACATGAATAAAATAGAATGTCTTTACAAATGCATAAAGTTGTATCATCTGCACAAATGTGTAAATTCATCATGACTAGTAAATGCTTTCAAATAAGTTTTTACCCTTTTCAATAAAATGAAATTATTTTCATTGATAAGGTCATCCATCATTTGGGTGCATTTTAATGCAATAATTGCTTTAACTAGTCTCTATATCCAAAATAGTATTTGACTATAATGTTATATAGTGATTTGCTGATAATAGATGTATAAGAGTAGTTGTACATACATGGGATCCTACCTTAAAAGTTTCAAATGTAATAAAAATAAAAATATCCCAAATATACTGTCCATATTATTTATGTTGGCAGTGGGACACATGTTCATTCTCTTCTAACATGGTCTTGCCACATAAAATTTATTTACTAGTTAATGAGCTCAAAATGACTACACCTGTGTCTGTACTGAAACAATCACACAAGTATTAGTTTTGTCAGATTTTAGTTCTGGTTTAAATGTTAGATGCGATATTAATATGTTTTCTGTAAGGAATTCTTTATTTCACAGACTTTTATTCTTTTTTTAAATATGCTTTATGATGACATGCACTATAAACATATCCTTGTCATTAAGAATCTTTGTTTTTCTGTTGTTGATGATGTGGTCTTATGAAGTCTCACTATGTAGACAAGTGGACCTTGAACTCAAGAATCCTTCTGTCTCCATTTCCCTGGTGCTAAGATTTGAAGCAAGTGATAACACTCCTTTGATAACATTTTTTTTCTAAACTAAAGGAATTCTTTACATGAATCACAAAGAAAATGAACATTTTCCATCCTTGGTTATAAATATTTTCTTTGCTGATTAAAAGGAGTGATTTCATTATTAAGAATACTGTAACTCAAATCTCATCACAACAATATATCACAAAGCTGTTTGTTCAATTTTACTTAGGGAATTCCTTACCTGTATCAGTGGTTGCAAATTGGTATAACTATGCCGTAGCATAAAAGTGTGAATTATTGATAAAGAAAGACCAATATGAATTAGGAAAGTTGTATTAATATCAAAGCACGTTATGCATATGGCCAGAAATAATCAGATAAATTTTCTTTAATTTTTTTACACATTGGCTTAAACCTAAAAAGAGAAAACAAGAAAGAATTGTTTTAATCCCAAGGACAATATTTTTTTCATAGTAAGAACTGAAATTATTGTTTTGATTAAACATGGAACAATTCAATGCACTAATATACTAGTCATTATATATGTACACATATATGCACATGAACATATGTTCCTGTACATATGCATGAATATACATATATGATTCATATGGTTTCATAAAATAAGTAAAAAATATATTGTAACAGCAAAGTGTCATTGACAGTATATTAATAATTTCAGCTGTCTTAGAGAATTATATTTGGCTCATAAAACTTTCTTATGCTAAACTACCTATGAAAGGAATATATATGTTCCTGAAGTTGTGATACACATGAAAAATAATATATTTATACTGTTTCATATTCTTATCAGTATCAATATATTTGTATTTTCATTTAAAATATTTAAGGTTAATTCATTTCTTTCTATGTGAAACTATACACATGGAAACAGTGATCTAGCTATTCAGATGTTTTATAATAATTAAATGTAAATACCATGAGAAGAATAGTATAAAATTTTTACTTTTTCATTATTGATACAGCAAAAATTCAAATACTTTCTAGTGGAAAAAAAGAGTGAAGTCATTAATGTAAACTTATGACTAGAACTGAATAAAAGTGGCAGTTAAAATAGAATTCCTGTAACATTTGGTAATATGTATGAACTTAGATTGAAGAACTAAAAATAAATGGTTCATTTAATTTATAAGAATAACTTCTGAGCCGAACTCCTGGAGTCCAGTTGTATACAGGGAAGAGTGATAAGCAAAGGAGTCAAAACCATGTTAGGAAAACCAACAGAAACAGCTAACCTGAGCAAGTGGGAGCTCATTGACCTTAGATTGAAAGTTGGTGAACCTGCTACATAAGACTGAAATACACCATCTGAATGTGGGTGTCAGCTGGAGTACTTGGGCAGATTATGGGGCCACTGGCAGTGGAACCAGCATTTTTCCCTAGTGCATAAACTGGCTTTTTGTATCCCATTCCCTATGGAGTGACACCTTGCTCTGCCTAGATACAGGGAGGAACGCCTCACCTTTTCTGAGAAGTGGATGGGCTGTGGTATGGACAGATCGTGGTAGGAGTGGGAGGATGGGAGGGAGAGGGAACTGGGATTGGTTGTAAAATAAGATTGTTTTTAATTTTAAAATTTTAAATAAAAAGAATAACTCTACATTATTCACATATATATACATAATCTTAAATGTTGAAGTTAAGTAACAGAAAATACAAAAATGATATAACACCAGCCATAAAATGAACTTCATTTAAATTATGAACACAAAGGGGCAATTAAAATAATTTCTATTTATTTTGTATTAATACTGTAACGTGCCATATTCTGAATAGCATTTATGTTTTGTTTTTGCTTTAACATAGAATTTGTATAAAAGCCTGAGTGAAGTGAAGTCTGAAGTGGAAATGGTGATTAAAACTGGACGTCAAATTGTACAGAAAAAGCAGACAGAAAATCCCAAAGAGCTTGATGAAAGAGTAACAGCTTTGAAATTGCATTATAATGAACTGGGTGCAAAGGTAAGTACCTACTTAGACCAATATCACATCTTATATTTACTGTATATTGTTAAACAGCATGCAAGGAAAGCATATATAATTCCAGAAATCTTTATTTGGATTCTCTGTCTCATTTGAGTATTTCCAAATGAAATCAACATTAAGATACCATTAGTCTCTGCTTGTCCACATAAGTTGAAAAGAATATGAGGCTTCAGCAGGAATTTATTGGTAAATAGATATCTACAAAAGACTGTTCTTTTTCTAAATTCTTTCTATTCAGTGGAAGAAATCTATTTACTATGACTGGAAGACAAGTATATATTCTATATTCAGTCATACTAGGAGTAGCACATTACACTTAGAATGAACTTGGCACAGTGGAGTAGGCATAGTTTGAAATCAAGACAATAAATTCTATGTTGAGTTAAAATATTATAAAAAACAAATATTCTCTTAAATATTTGTGTGTGTGTGTGTGTTTGAATTAATACCTGTCTATTATTTCCTCTCCTCCAATTCCTTCCAAATCCATTTTTAATATCATGTAATTTTCTTTTCTCTTTCTGATGATATTTCTGCATGGGGAGGCATTGTCTTAAATACATCTTTGACAAGACCTATATCTAACTGTTTTAGTTTTAAAGTAATCTTTATTCTCTGTTCACAGTAGTTTAATATTTACTAGCACCCCTACACTGAAATCTTGTGATGACAGGGTCTTACTGATCACAGGCTTGTGTTGAAGTCACAAAGTAGTTAAGGGTGGCTTTGAACTCATAATCCTTCTTCTTCCATCATTCAAATGCTGGGATTACAATAATATTACAACAGGCATGGATGATGTGCACACTCAGTAATAAAAATAAAATGGGGCTGAAAAAGTGACAGTCTCATCTTACTCTTTCAATTATAAATGATTGTCTGGGACAATTGTATGCACAACACCATTGCCTTTAACATGAGTAGTTTTGACATAGAACACTATAGGAAATAATCACTTGGACTTTAAAACAACAAAAATGAATTTAGAAAACTATTAGGACCACCAGTTTATTATTATTAAAAATTTAATGAATCTAGTAATGATGCAAATCCCGATTTATCCCCAAAAACTACAAATTTGAGAGCTTATACTTAATTTGAAATTTAATAATACCATTAACACAAAGTGATGAATACAGAGAAATGATATTTTAATAGAATCTTAGAGTGCATCACAAATAGAGGAAAAAATTTGTATTTGAAATAAATATATATTAATTAAATATATATATTTAGAAACATTAGTCATTAAAGGATTGTATGTTATATCATAATATAATTATGCTATAAATCTTGTATTTCTTGGCTAAGGGAAAAATAATTTTCTATTTATTGACCTTCAAAACATGTTCAATGAAGGTGGTTTTTTAACAAAGACAAAAGAGCTGTGTTTGATGAAAGAATTCTTTTAATATACAAATAGAAAGGCATTCTAAATTAGATGTCGTTAGAAATTACATGCTTGCACATAATTAAGTACATTTTTTGTACTAAATACTTTATACTACCAGCACACAGTGATATCCTGGGGAAATACCAACCAAGAACAGTAATGTATTTTTCAAACTTCTGGGGCTTGCCCTTCCAAGCTAAAATGCTCACCAATTCAGGGTCCATGAGTGTTGCTTCAGTCTCTGTGATCATCTAGGAGCCCTTCTTAGTCAATTTTGTGGGCCTTCTCCTGGTTTCCTAGACCCCTGTGGCTCCTACAGTCCTTCACTTACCTCTTCTGCTGGGTTCCTCTGACTTTCCTTACTCTCTTCATCTGCTGCCACCAGCTGCTGGATGTTACCTGTCTGATGACAACTGAGCCTGGCACTGATCTATGACTATAGCAGAATATCATTAGTAGCCATTTCTCTGAATTATTTCCCCAGTCATATTTCATTCTACTTCGGTTTCCCTGACTGTCCAACCTCTGTTTCCTGATTATCTAGTCAATGTTATGTCTGTGCTCCTTTTTGTAGCCTGCGCTTCATGTTGGGCCAGTCTACAAGTTCTTCACCAACATTAAGCCAGCAAATATGGAGGCAGGATAGATTGTAGGTTGAAGGCTTTGTGATTGGGTTGATATCGCAGTTCCACTGCTGGAAGCCTTGTCTGCATGTTGAAAATGGCCAGTTCATCACCCTACATGTGGAGTGGGGGAGTATGGGAGGGGAGAGTGTTTGGGATGCATGTGAGGGGGGGAGAGAGGGAAATAGGGAAGGTGGGTGGGTGGGAGGAAGTGAGGGAGGGAGAGGGAAATGGGATCAATATGTAAAATAAAAATTAAAAAAATAAAATCAAAACAGATTAAAAACCCTAAGAAGCTGTAGAGCTGGGGAAACAAACAAACAAAAAAAAAAAAAAAAGAAAAAGAAGGAAGGAAGGAAGGAAGGATGGAAGGAAGGAAGGAAGGAAGAAAGAAAGAAAATGGCCAGTTCAGGCTCTGTATTCAGGATTACTAGGATACTTTGCTAGGGTCACTTTTGAAGATTCCAGAGAGCTTCAACTATAACAGGTTTCCACATTGTTCCCCAAAGGTTCCCCCAATTCCAGTTGTCTCCCCCAGGACTTTTCCCCAATCCCCTACCTAATCTCTCCTGTTGTACACCTACCTGCCACTAATCTTGAAAAATCTGTTCTAAATCTATTTGAAATGTGTATTAGCATTTATATTGCAACACCTTAAACACTTTAGACATAGTTTTATCTTTGATTTTTTTCATGTTAATAGTTATTACGCACACACAGAGAGCCTGAGGCATAAATATGCATTCATATTGTTGCCTTATTTTCTTATACAATTTCATTACAGTTCAGACTATCTTTAAGTCTATTTTTCAGATAGCATTTTAATTAAATAATCTTGACCTTGGCATGATAGCACATGCCTTCAATCCTAGTACTTTGAAGGTAGAGCCTGGTAGATCTCTTAATTCCTAGCCACTTTGATCTTAGGAAAGCAAGGCTACACAAAGAAAACCTGTCTCTAAAACAAAACTAAATATATCAAACTTTCTTTGGTTTTCTTGCCAACAAATAGTAGCATAAATAAAGTTTTTCTCATGTATTCATACATACCATTTTAATTAAATCTTTTATGAAGACAAATACTGTATATATAGGAAGAAATTCAAATTAAGATAACAGTGACTTAAACTTCTACTGAGTTTTTTCCTTTGCAATATTCCATTGTGCCACATAGAATATATACTAGTTAATTTTCTACTGGAGAATTTTTTCTTGTTTTAGATCTAGATTTTAAACAGTGAAAGTAAATATGTATATACATATATATATATATATATATATGATAAGATTTAAATTTTATAAAAGTGCAATTTTTGTTACAAAATTTTTTTGTTTTTTGGATAAGTGGTGGTTGATGGTGTTCTGTGCAAAAGTAATTTGAAAATGTAGTGAATAAGAAATTTGGAATTCTGTATATTACACTAAAATTTTTCCTCTGTAAAGAAATTCTTTTCTCCTATTTTAATGGTCTCCTAAGCAAGAGACTCATATGCATTTTGAAGCCTGTAAGCCTGTTTGTCCATGTATTTGCCAAATGGCTATAGGTTTCCTTTGACAAATAGGTCATATCTTATGTTTGACTTTTATCATATTTATTCCAAACTTTGGTCATAAATATTGCTTTTAATTTATTTAGAGAGAAATTCATGTAGGTTTTCTGTTGTTCTGCTATCATTGCATTAGATAAAGATGCTATATTTTGGCTAAACATTTTTGTTGTCAAAACTTTTTACTCACTATTAATTTCCTCACTATATGACTTTTCTAAAATAAGATTGGAAACAGCATGTAGGAAAATAGTTATTTTATTGTGATAGAAATATAAAATTTTCAATTATTGCAAATTAACTTTACTTAAAATTAAGCCAAATTTAATATATTATTATTTTCTTTTAGGTAACAGAGAGAAAACAACAGTTGGAGAAATGCTTGAAATTATCCCGTAAGATGAGAAAGGAAATGAATGTCTTGACAGAATGGCTGGCAGCAACAGATATGGAATTGACAAAGAGATCCGCAGTTGATGGAATGCCAAGTAATTTGGATGCTGAGATTGCCTGGGGAAAGGTAAATCTTGTATTACTGAAAGTTAATTTAAATATATAGGAAGGCATATAGTAAATGATTTTACAACCAAATAGTAATGCCTAATATTAATATAATTATCAATGTTACCTTGCTTCATAATTGCTTCCTTCAAAAATTAAATGGACTCCAATCTGATAGACAGGAAACCAGCATAGGGCTGACCCAGACCCTCTGAATGTGGTGTTAGTTGGGAGGATTGGTGGTCTATGGGGCTTCTGATAGTGTTTCAGTATTTATCCCTAGTATACAAATGGTCTTTGGGAGCCCATTCCACGTAGAGGGATACCCCCTCAGCCTAGACACATAAGGGAGGGCCTAGGCCCTGCTCCAAATGTTATGACAGACTTGGAAGGGCCCCCATGGAAGGCCTCATCCTCCCTGGGGAGCAGAAATAGGATGGCACTGGGGTTGGTGGGGGGAACATGGGAGGAGAGGAGAGTGTGGGAACTGGGACTGACATGTAAAACAAGCTTGTTTAAAATTGAAATTTAAAAAAAAATTATAAAAATTTAACAGATTCTAACTGTGTATTTCCAGACTGATGAATCAAATGGCAAACTTCATGAAGACTCTTTCCAAAGCATATATTGAGCAAATTAGTTATGAGTAAATCCTATAAAATATGTACATTATTGACAGGCAGTATTGTCACACATCTTTAATCTCATCACTTGGAAGACAGAGGCACGTGGATCTCTTTGAGTTCAAGGCCATTCTGGTCTACAAAGACACACAAAGTAACCCTGTCTTGAAAAATATTTAAAAATGAAAATTATTACTAAAAACATATAGTTCAGACCGCTGTGGGTATTACAAATGAATCATGTGAATCTAAAGATCTAAATCTATCATTCACAGAGATTAAGTTCTATATTTTATTGGTTTATGTCAAACTAGAGTGAGTCCCTAACTGGAACTAACAACCAGGATACAGCATGATATAGTGACTGTTCCCTATATTTCCAAGGTTATAATTACAAAGAATGAAAAGGCAAGGGAGAAGATACTATCATTTCTGTCACCCAAGGGCACTTGGCCAACTCTGATTCTAGCTGGAAAATTCTTGTCATTTCTTTTGACAGCCAGAGGGACATTTATTGCTGCGTAGAATTTAAAGTCAAACATTCATAGTTTAATATTTTTTTCCAGCTGATTCATTACTAGAGTATTTTAAATTAGGCTAATAAAAAGGAAATAGCTGATGTAGCTCGTGTTAACAGCCTATTTTCATCTTAGACTTTGCCTAAGCTTTAGGCCATTTGCAAAGCATATTTACTATCATTTCTTTAAATTAATAATATTTGACTGATTTAATTAGTCATACAATGTATTTACATTTAATTTAAGATTATTAAGGCTAAACATTGTATTCCAGTTTTGAAAAAAAATGTATATTATATAAAATCTTATGATGTTCTGATGCCACACTTAAAACCATTTCTCTTAGTGAAAATTGTGGTGCAATATATTCCTTTTCTCTCTCCTAAGAAGGATTTTTTGGAGTTAGATCTGTTATTTTAAGATCATATATTATTTGAGATTATTATGATAAGGAAATAAAACAGATAATATAGACTAAAATTATACTGACCTCATTTTCCTGTTACCATTCTATCACATAATGGCATTGTGTATGTTTTTTAGATTAAATCAATAATTGTATACTTAGGTATAATCTGAGTTACTTACTATAAAAATTCAACTAATGTGCAGTGTTTCTGAGAAGATAAATATGGGATTCTTTCTCAAGTAAGGTTACCAGTTCAGGATAAAGCAATTATCTTTGGTATAGGAAATCATCCAATGGCCTAGGTCATCCTTGAGCTTGCTTTTCAAGATCTTTGTTTGTTTCTACTCTTGTCATAAAACTTGCTCACTGCTGTGAGTTTTAAATTTCACCCACAACAAGGAAGCTAATAAAGTGGAGAATACTAGTTCTCTCTTAGTGATGGCTGGTAAAATCTCCATGCATCATTAATGCTTTTATTTCATTTGCCAGTTCAAATGTGACCTGATCAATTTACCAGAGTTTGAAAGAAAGTATGGGTTTTAGATAAGCAACATTGAACCCTGGCTTAATAAACTTGCACTGAAATGAATACAGAGAGAATGCTTTTTAAGAGATAATTTTCTTGCCTAATGCAGTATATTCCTGGCCTTTTACCTCAGTAATTAAAGAATGAGGTTTAAAAAAAAAGTTCATGTAATGTACAAATCTATATAAAACATTATTATTGCCTAGCAGAAAAAAATCCCAAACCACACACACATACCAGGGTACAGTTTTATTTCTTCATTTATTTATTTACCATCCTGAGCAGTTTTCCCTCCATCCTCTCCTCCCATCCATCCTCCACTCCCCTCCATCATCCACTTCACCCACTTCCATCCATTTCTGTTCAGAAAGGGATGGCAAGTTAGGTGATTCTGTCCAAACTAATTTTTTTTTATTTTTATTTCTGTATGTAATATCATAAAATGTACAAGCTACATTTAAGGGATTCATAAATACTATCAAGAATTGACTTTCTGTAATCCCTTTTTATACCACAAATATATCTTCATTGCTGCTTTGAAACTGACCATTTTCAATGGATTACCATGACTTCCTTAGCAGACTATACAAAGCAGTGGTTTCAAATGTGAAAATCTTACTTCCATAGTTCTAGAGACTAAAAGTCAAAGATTAGTTGTCAGGAAAGTTATTAGCAAATGTACTTCTTGGTTTTCATATTAGTCTCATTTGTGGACATATCTGGATATCAAATTAATCTTCTTTTAATGACACTAGGTACACAGATTCACTCTCAATACAATATTATAACAGTTACCTCTGTAATGTTCTATTGTAATAAAGTTGCATTATGAGGTACCAGTATTAGGAACTTCATCATGTGACTTATGGGGCGGCATAAAACATACTCTGACAAGGGAGAAACCCTGGAATGCAAACTATTTCTGTAATGATGCATAAAGAACAAATTATAGACATAAAAGGAATTTGAAACTCAGTTAGTTACATTTTATAAGCAAGTTAGGAGACAATTTAAAGTTATAAAAAATATACTCCATTGTGGGATCTTCATAAAGATTTTTCCTCAATTTTCTAAAGAGGTATATTTTGCATTGACTTCACAAACAAATCAAAAATCAAATCAAGGAAAAACAAAAAGACATTAAAATTCTACATTATAATATCTTTTGGAAAGTTCTCTAAATTATAGGAGGTTTAAGTAGTCTGAAATTATGGCCAAACACAGAGTCTTCATCTCATCTCCTTACTTGATTCACAGCTGATGTATTTTCTTGGCAAAAGTTGTACTAGACAAAGCTGAGGTACCTACTGATATGTCATAGCTGGTGAGTTCTCCCAGAATTCCTCAGTCCCTTCTAGTGACATTGTCATCCTGGCTGGCATATGAGAACACCTACCCTGAATCCCTTCTTTATACTGTAACTTTAACACATGATCCTTCTGCTTTAGTCTCCCAAATGCTGGAATTATAGTAAAGAAACATTTTGCTCAACCATAAAAGTAGTACTTTTAATGATTTAAAAGTAAATCTGATAAGTTGTATATAAAAAATCAATTAAAAGTATCTCATCAATGAATAAATTTGCTTAGCATCTTATCTGAGCCATAATAGTAAATATTTTTGTAAATAAATAGATATTTAATGATTATTATTTTTAGAAAGTAGCAGTTCTTACAGTTTATTATACATAATTTTATGATTTAAACAATAGCAGATTTCATTTATTCTAATTTAGTGACATTGTTGAAAAATTCTGAATCATTTAATTAAGCTCCTTAAACTCATAGTGCCAACTAAAACCTAACAGTTAACCATGATTTCCTAAAATGTTTTCTCTTATACTATGTTGGATCCATCAGTTTATTTTTTTTTTGAAAACACATTTACATTGTGTTATAGAAAGAGTTGTCTGACAACATCAATAAGAGAAAACATTGAATTCTATTTAGAAAGTTAAATAATGCAAAGTAACTGATATTGGTATAAACTGATACCAATGACACTGTAGACATGAGGGAGAAAACAACCATTGGAATCTGGAAGACTCCAGGGCAGAGAAAGTAGTAGTCTGAGCATAGCCTACAGATTGGTCCTGATAGATAGAAAGAATAAGAGGAGAGAGATTAAGAGGAAGACAAAAGAAGGTACAGAAAATAAAGGCTAAGGCTAGGCAAAAGAGAGAGGCAAAAAGGGAGGCAGAGAAAAGAGGAAGCATAACTAAAATAGCAGGGTTATCAAGGAGGAATAGCTGTGGTAGGGAAGCTTCTGAGGTGGAGTAAATTTAGGGTAGAGGGGGAGGGGAGGATAAAAGACCCAAGAAGAGCCAGGATGGACTCTGAAATGTCTGAGTTATTTGTGATACTGAAGAAACTTAGGCCAGCATGCTCTTTGGTATGCAAATAACCTCTGCAGATAGCTATTTTTTCCTTCTGCCTGTGATAGGGGAACCTGCTCCACAAGTTAAGGAATGTTTCCTTTTGTCTTACCACCACAAGAATTGGGGGGAAATGGAGTTTTTTCTTTTTTCTTTTTTGGACTTGACAATGCTTAACTAGCAATTTATGAAGCAAATTGTGTTATTTCAGTGACAAGTATTTACAAAGTTCAACATAAAGAATACTCAGTTTTCTAAATTACTTTTTTTTGCTACTTCAATTATAAAATGTAATGATTACTTTTCCTCAAACACACACACACACTCACACACACACTCACAAAACAAAACATCATCTCAAAATGACAATCTGTTTGACAGTTTCTTAGTTACATATACAAAAGTTGCAAAATAGACAAATGAGTGGACTCTCTCTTGGAATCATGCATTTAATCAGTTCACCTAATGTAGCTAGCATCATAATATTCTGCACATTTGAACACCACTGGAAAATATCAGTCATATAAGACTCAAAAATTCCAAGCAGTCTTATGGGAAATACATCCAAGTCTCTTAATTATTTCCTGTGTGTTTTTTTTAAATATCTTTCACTGTTTAAAGGAATCTAATTTCCTCTCCTACTTTGTAGGAATAATTGCCTTACCATGTCACCCTCTTAACTATAAAAGTATGAGATCTATTTCTTATTTCTGAAGTCTGTTACACTATCATTCTCATGAAACATTACATATCTTTTTTTTTTGAAAAGAGAGCATAGTAATTCATCTGTGAAGTGAAATATCACTAGCAGATCATTAACTTGGTACAATGAATGTATCAAACAGCTGTTACTTAGAAAATAGAACAACTGTTCAATGCCATTGAAGTTACTTTTCACTGTCATTATAGTTATGTCTATAATTTCTGTCCTGCACATTCTGCTTCCATGAAAATCTTTACTAGATGAAGCATTATTTATAAAACCTCAGTATACATTGCTATATAATCCAATATTAAATGATTTAAATTATTCTTTAACTTATCATTATATTAGCCTGTTGCATAGTCTAAGAGTAAAATATGTCCTAGACCTTAAGCCATGATAGTATGCAAGGTCTCAGAAAAGTAATTAATATAAAATTTTGTCATGTATATATCATATTATACTGTATTATGCACTCTTGAGGAATATTGTATACATACACTATCAATTTAATGGTAAATATACATTGTCATGTAAAATTAAAATTTAGAAATTGCAATATGATAAATTTCTACCTTTTAATTTTAATTACTCAGTTTGTCATGATCAGAAATGTTATGGTAGTTACATATACCCTTGCATGGCTAAGAATTTTAAGAAACCACATACAAACATATTAGTTAACCCCTCATCTACTTTTTAGTGCATAAAATATAAATAATAATCAAAATGAAATTACTGTAGTATCCTAGGAAAGGAAATGATAATGTAATGAAATGCCTGTGAAGAACGTATTTGGATAAATGTGTGGTTAGACAAAGATATTAACTATAAACAGGCTTCCCTTAAGAAATTGTTCTGAAAGAATTGAATGAGTGTAGTAGGCGATCAAATATAGAAATTATCCTTAGAATAAATGTCATGGGGACATTTCCAGAAACATTACAGAGGCATTGAAAACTTGGGGGGAAAGGTAATTGACACAATAGGATGTTTTCTAGCCAAAATGAGCCCTGTCTCATAATCATGGAGAATAGTGTCTACATGTTTGTTTCTTGTAGATCAGATAATTATTCCAATAACTTTTATAAGTGTAAATTTAAGAATATCAACAGAAAACAAGAGGGTAGGTTTTCTAATAAAAAAGTATGCACTTTAATATATGCACCTCAACATTTCTAAAATCAACTTCACTAGTATGTATGAAGAATTAATCTGAATGCAATTTTTACATTGTCTTCTTACATTGCCTATGAATAGGATGCAAATAGGTACACCTATTCTATTATTATAATGAATTACAGTAGCTTTTAACTATTTTTGCATCCTGGTAATAATATATTTGTTTACTGGAAATCATCAAACTTGGTTTTTAATATTTCTGCAAGTACCTGCTTATATATTTTATCCCAAAATGTTAACACTTATTAATATTTGCAGACATATTGTTTCAGTATAATTCTACTTATGCTAAACATTTTTGATGATCATAAAACCCCATACAGTCACTAGTGCAGTTCCAATTTTGTTGTCCGAATGGCTTTGAAAGTATATATAATTATCATGTAGGTCAAAATATAAAATATTGAAAATAATATTATTTTTTCCTCATTTTAAAATTACCATAAGGATCGCACACTTTATAACTTGAGGGAAAATAAACAAATAAAAACCCTAAGTGTAATTGATGATAAAAGCAGGAAAAATATTTTCTTTTATATCATTTTATCTTTCTAACCTAGAATAGTCAATTTCTATATTTGTAAAGTACATATTTTCCCCACTAGTATACAGAATTTTGAAAGAGTTGAAATCTAGTCCATGCCTATTAATTTCAAACTGTGTTGTGTTTTTCCAAACCTGGTACTATCATTTTCTTTTTTTATTATTATTTTTTTTATTTAATTTTATATAACAAAGTCCAATTAAATGAAAACAAACATTTATACAAATATTTGGGAATTTGGGCGTCGTTCTTTCCAAACTACTTCCTGCTCGTAAGGGGTGCTGTCTTGGGGGATTCGAAGAAGATTCAGATATCCTAGCTGTAGTCTGTAGGGCTGTTTTGTCCAGCTGTTTGGAATGTAGGATCAGCTTGGTACTATCATTTTCTAAAAGAAACTTAATACTGTTATTTTGCAGTTTTGCACTATTGTATTTTGCAATAGTGTCTGGACTCTAAGAGGAATACAAAAAACACTCATGATTGATATCTAAACAAATTGATTTTGTGAAATGCTAGTCTCATTCATGTAAAACAAATAGTACTTATATTAAAAATAATCATTTCTGTCATAGCAGATAAATTCATTTGACTCAGTTACCTCAATTTCAGCATTTTAATGTTAATATGAGAAAAATATAAACTTTCATAAATGAAAATGATTGTTTGTCACCTAATTATTTGTTCAATCAGCATTTTGTGGCATACTTATTTTTTCTGTTTATTTGATGTCTAAAGCAAGAATCAATAAATAAAACTGAATGGAAATAAAGACATGACTGCTTCTAGGTATGGTTGAAGAGGTTTTTATTGTAAGTATAAGGGAGAATATATCCAGAGTCATATGGAAGATTCCATACTGAAATTGCCAGGAGAATAGACTGTTCCATAAAAGGTAAAAGAGAGAGGGAGAGCAAGAGAGGAATGACAAAAGACCTGAGAGGACAAAGAGAACCATGAACCAAGAGAGCAAGTAGCCAAAATGGCTTAAGTTATGTAGGAAAGAGAGAATCTGGGGAAAAAGAAGGAAAGCTTAGGGGCTGGAGAGGTTTAGGGTAGGGGGTAGGTAGTTGTGGGAAGTGCTGAGGAGCCACACCCTGAAATGGGTACTTGCAGAGAGGTTGGTGACCAATTGTCTGAATTGATATGTTAATAGACACTACAGTTAGCCATTTGTCTGGGTTCCTCAGAGACCTAACAAAAAAGTACTCAAGGACCAAGAATTGAATAGGACCTCATAGTGTGGAGAAATGCTCCCTATATGGAATTGTGGTGTGTTACACAGACAAAAAGACATTTTGAGAATACCTAGAAGTGATAAATCCACTGTCTGATGGAGATAGCTTCTTTACATAGAATACTTCTATGGTTCTACATGCATTAATTGTTTGATTCTACTTGTGAACTTACTGTGATTTACTATTGCTATTCCTCAGTGATTTTGTCTTATTTTGACATTGGCTTTGGTTGTTAGGGCATTGGCTTCTGTTTTAAATTACTTCCTTCTTTGTATCAGTTGTGTGTATTTTTATTTCATACTTTAGAAAAAATTATGAAAAGGGTTCATCATGCCTAATGAGGTATCAAATTATTTATGTCTCCAAAAGATTGAATATACTGTTATAGAAAATTAATAGAATCATAGTTGTTTAATTTTCTAAAGGCAGGTATTTATTTGTAAATGATTCTTAAATTGTCTTCCATTATGCAATGCATGATCAAACTAATAAATATACAATATTAAATGAAAAATCTTTAGGCTTAGCTACTAAACATATATAATTATGATTAGTAAATCAATAACATTTGTATAACAATATATGTCCTATATATCCAGTAATGAAACTACAATATATATGGTAAGATTCATAATAAAAACATGGTTGCAAGTTTATGACCTTACAAAATCTCTGCATAGGAACCAAACACAACCCTTTTATAAACTTGAATTATTAATGCTAAATGTGGTGTTTTACTCACAGCTTAATGTTAACTTTTCCACAGGCTACGCAAAAAGAGATTGAGAAACAGAAGGCTCACTTGAAGAGTGTTACTGAACTAGGAGAGGCATTGAAAACGGTGTTGGGCAAGAAGGAAATGTTAGTGGAGGACAAACTGAGTCTTCTGAATAGTAACTGGATAGCTGTCACATCCAGAGCACAAGAATGGCTAAATCTTTTGTTGGTAAGAAAAGAGACAGAAGCTTTTCCGCAAACAACACAAAACCAAAACAAGAAAATAAGAGTTCAGGAATGGTGTTTGTGTCTTAAAATTTAATGATTTTTTCTATATATAATAATATACTAGAACATAATTCTAAGATATTTTATGATTTAACACTATTTTCTATTTTTGGTATGTTACTCAAAGGGAGTTAAAATTTTCTTCTTTTTATAAAGTAGAACAAACATTTATAAGAGTCTTATCTAACCAGTAATATGGTATGTTTCTATGTAATTCAGGAGTACCAGAAACACATGGAAACCTTTGATAAGAATGTAAAACAGATCACAAAGTGGATCATTCATACAGATGAACTTTTGGATGAATCTGAAAAAAAGAAACCGCAACAACAGGAAGACATTTTTAAGGTAATAAATACAATATTATGAAAAGTAGTTTTCTAACTGCACAAGATAAGACAACCATGTTTAAATTACAAAATGCTAAAGACTTTAATAAAAAAAAAAAGTCTAGCCATTCTCTGTTTCTTTCTATCTGTGTTGCTTCCTTCTTTTAATGATCTACCATCCTTCCTTATTTTCTTATCCCTGTTCTTTTCTATTTTCCTCCTTTTATAGAGATTAATAACATTATAGAGTTCTATAATTTAGATATTTGTCCAAGTTCATATCTGACCTCTATATACTCAATTTAATCTCACTAATGATTACAAGGACTTACTTTTCTGTCAAATTTTAAAGCAATTCTTATTTTAACGTCAATATTCTGTGCTTTATCAACATAGTTTCTTGTCTATAATGTATCCTTCATTTATTACTAATTTTTTTGATCTGTTACTGTCAAATACCAATTTTAGCATAGATTCAGTATCTCTGATCCAAAGATTACTAAGTTCAGGATGCTCCATACTTTGAGATTTTATTTTAAAACTTACAGCATTCCACATTAGCATATACTATACCATGCAACACTGTCATGTAAAAAATTGTTCTATAATTTTATAAAATTAAGTTTATGATAAATGTATTGGTATTTATGAAACAAAAATGAATTTTTACTTGATCTTGTACCAATCATTTAGATACCACATCATGCATTTGAATATACTCTGAAATATCAAGTGTAAAGTAATTTTTTAAACATTTTGAATAAGTAATATTCAACAATGTATTATCCATTATCACCATCTTATGTAAACCAATTTTTACATTAAACACATATAAAAATTAACATTTTAAAACAGGTAATTTTTTTAAACTTATCCAGGAATCCTATGTTGTATGCCATAATTTCAAATTAACGTTTGTTTCAAAACGATTTCTACAATAAGATATATGAATTGGAAATATATCTTCTTCATACTTTATCTCTATTTGACATTATTTCACTTCACAATCAAATTTAAAATGTTGTTTTTTGGACAAAATCATTTAAAGTAACAATATACTAAGTTTTGGTTCAAATTCTCAGTAATATATAGTCATTACTGCTTAAAAATCAGCTATTGTTAATATTTCTGTCTTTCCTTTATTTTGTTTACTAGTTTTTGGAAGCAAATCTTCCTAATTTATACAAGATGGTAACTTGAAGTCATTATGTAACATATATTATCTTTTATTAGCAAATTTCCTGTCAGTCTTTCAAGACTGTTGGGTTCATATCTCTATACCACCATAATCAGCTCTTAATTTCTTTATTTTTTTCTGCAGGATTTATCTTTTTTTAGTAAAACTCTAAAGACATTCTAGGATATCTCATAAGCATATTTACTTCATAATCTGGATTATATCTTGGTATTCGTTTGCATCATATTCTGTAGTATTGATTCATAGTTAATTATATTCATATAATGGCAACATTCAAGAAAAGATTTTGATATAATATATACATTGGATATTTGACACATGGGTCCATTAGTTTATGTGCAACACTCCTTTTATATGCAATGCAGATATTTAGGTACTGGAAAATCAACCTTTTCCATGATATTCAAGAAAATAATGATCTCAGAAGTAACAGAAAATAATGTAAAATTGTACTTAGGGAATTTTCCCTCTTAAACACATAATGCAGTGGTGCTATAACTGTTAACTTCAGTAAAGATAATAGAAAACAAGACCAAATGTATAATAATATGCTTGTTTCCAGACACTATCAGTACATTTTCTTTGTCCTTCTTTAAATGAAGTACATAGATTAAAGAGACATATAAGAAACGTAAAAATACTGTTCTAGTATTTTAAGATCACACAATTTCATTCTGTTTCACTGTTATTGAAATTGGTTTTGTTCTGTCCACTCTGTTTTACATATAATTCCAGTTCTCTCCTTATCATGTCTTTCTCTCCCTTTTCTCCTCTGCCTCTCTCACCATCTCACACTCTCTTCCTCTGTGTCTGCTCAAACTTTGATTACTAACTTAAAGCCCTGTTTCTTGCTCATGGAATACAGCGTTTAAAGGCCGAAATGAATGACATCTGCCCAAAGGTGGACTCCACACGGGACCAAGCAGCAAACTTGATGGCAAACAGAGGTGACCACTGCAGGAAAATAGTAGAGCCGCAAATCTCTGAGCTCAACTGTCGATTTGCAGTCATTTGTCACAGAATTAAGACTGGAAAGGTAGGAAGATCTACTCCAAGGTGGAAACTTATACTAAATGATCTCTTGAGAAGGTTGCACAGTACTCTGAAGGGATCAAGAAATCCCCACAACAAGGTTCTCAAAAGGAGTGAGAAGGCCAAAACATACTTAAGGAAATTTTATCATTGACTATCATGGAGATAAATCTCTCTTCCTTTCTATATTTCTTTCTTTCTGTCACACTTTTGCCTGCTACAGCTATGCTAGAACTGCACTCTGCAATGATTTACATATACTTTCAGGGATCACCTACAACAAAGTAACAGAGCAAGCAGTAGGCCAAAATAAAAAAAAAAAGAAAGAAAGAAAGAAAAAAAGAAAAAGCACAAACATCAATCTAAACTAAGCACTGTTGAAGTATTTTTCTAAATATAATATTGCTTGTGTGTAATGCATATTAAATATCCACCATGAGGCCTTGTACACCTGCATGATCTAGGATATTTGTACCTCTTTACTTGTTTTGAACATTTGTAAAAATAATTTGCTCATACTAATTGTAAGCACTGTGACAAAATCCATTTGGTTATGCTGAAATTCTAAAGCCATGAAAGCAAATGAATGTGAAATTTAAATTCAATATTTCTGTAGTTTTGAATGCTGATTTATCTTTATTCTATTTAATGAAGGACTGGAAGGTATGGTTCTTTTGCATGATAATCTTCATGTTTATATAACAAGTAATGGATCTAAAAACCTCTTAAGTAGTTTTCCAAAATATGTAAATACAGGAATGGAGAATTTCAATGTTTTAGTGACGATTTGAAATGCAAGAAATTATCTGAAAATGTATCTAATGTTGTCTGATACATTTTTCAATACTATATGAAACACATGCAAATAAAAATATGTATGAAAGAAGTACATATTTATAAATTTAGTAAAGTCATGGAATCAATTTAATTTATAAAAAGAAATATGTAAATAATTCAAGTTTTTCCCTGTTGAGTTTTTCATGATTCTGTTAATTACTAAAAATGGCTAGATAAAGTATTAATATTGTGTAAAGATTCAGTAAAGCTAAAACTGTAGAGATGAAATATATCTGAATATTTGCCTATTTGCTGATTTCTGGAATAGTTAGAGTATGTGTTAAAAACTATTTTCAACATTACGGTTAACAAATTATATATATATGTATATGTATATATAGTAATTGCTAAAGTTTCTAAAGAATTGATATATATATATATATATATATATATGTACATATATATTTAGGTAAGCATCAAAATATATAAAATGTAGTATCAGAAATTATGAATAATTTAACCATCAAATTAATTATTCTGAAAATTCACTTTCCCAAAATATAACAGTGTATAACTTGAATACATATTGAATAGGCTCTTACATTTTGTTTTCTGTGCATAATTTTTTATATTGTACTATGCTACTTACTAAGCAATTGCCATTACTAATGATTATATCCATGGTGTAGTTAACAAAAATAACTGAAGGGTTTCAGTAAACAAAAAATATTGTCTTAATGTGGTACTCTGGTTTATTTTATTCCCATCAAAAATATACAATTTTGATAAACTTCTAAGCTACTGGCAATTCAAAAGAATACATGGATGTATGTTTTGTCCTAAGATTATGGCTCCCAGATACTACACTGAAAAAAAAAGACAGAGAGTTTTTTCTCCTCCACAAACTTAGTACCTTTCTCTGAGTGAGTTTCTTAACCAAGAGTTCAATGTAAAATTTTTTTCTGTTCTTTGCCTAAATTTGTGAGTAGTAATTTACAAATCATGGATTAAGTAGGACACTCAAATCTCAAATTTTATCCTTCTTTCCATATAAAGCATAAGTTATTCAAATCAATAATTTCACATACATACTGATAAAGCAACATGTTTTCCCTTAATTACAAAAAAATGACTAGATATAACACTGGTAATGTTTTGGAAATATAATTAAGCTTTTTCAAGATAAAACTAAAACCACAGTGATAAAAATTTGTCTGATTAATTGTCTATTTTTTACCAAAAATTATATTGACCTTAAATTTTGCTGGGAATTGTACAAATGCAAAGGTGTAAAAACATTTGATTAAAAAAATCTGCTTATGAACACAAAACCAAATAAAGAGTAATCATAAAAATGTGCGTAATACTAAAACCTGTTCAATGAAATTTTCAAACACTTCTGAGGTAATTCTAGTAAGAAACAATGCTAACTTTGCTAACAATCTGCAGATAGAAATATGTCTGTGATTTGTATATGGTAGTTACATTTTTCAATTTTATTTTAATAAAGACTTATTCGGGTAAAAATAAACTCCACATTGCAGAATAGCACCTAACAAAGATATATTTGTTGGAAAACATTTAAATTTAAACTGATTTTTATAGAAAGGCATAGTCTTCACAATGACAGAACCTCAGCAGTGTAAGATTTAAATTGCTTTTACCTGCATTGCTGTCTCATAAAATTCTGAACTATAACAAATTTCAAATATTTACAAAGATTCTGCACCGACTGTTCTTGGAATCTCAGTGTATCCTTAAGTTGCAAAAAGAAAATAAAATATAGAATTGGATTTGTCATTTTAAAAATAAACATCTCATATCTTCAGGTAATATTTCTGGAAATTTAATATATAAGAATTAGAATATAACTTTACTGATATATATTATGCATATAAGTGTTCAGGGCCCCTTTTTACTTCTAGCTCATGTGTAGTATTATACATCTTTGCCTCTCTACAAGAAGGACAATTGACCTGAACCTCAAAAGTCATTATTCAAAATTGAATATATAAAATATCAAATAATGGAGTTTCTAGATAGGGAGGGATTATACCTTTATTTTTTTTTCCTTTCTATGATTGAGTTTAAGTACTATAAAGTACTACAGTACACCTTTAGGATATGGTGTTGAATTTCTCAAGTAGGTCAGTCCAAACTCATACAACTTTGAATTGTGCACTTCAATATTCTTGTGTTGATAAATGCTCTTTAAGATATTTAATGACTTAGCTATGATATTGCTTATAATGTAGTATTCTGACAGTATCAGCATTATCTTATGTAAAAATCAGATTAGTTGCATCTTTGAGAAGTTGGTTACTTCCATAGGTAGATTTTCTCATGTACAACCATAACTTAGGACAAAATGTTTAGTGATAACTGAAATATGAAAGTCATTTGATACTAAACAATATTATGAACTCAATGTAAGGTTTAGTTTTAGGCTAGCCTTTTAGCAATCAACTAGATGGACAATTGAGTAGAGCAAAAACTATCATAAGAAGTTACTACTTACTCCTCTATGTTCTGTTGAGTAATAACTGGTGAAAGACATACTTTCACACTTCTGACACAGATTGTCTATCATAAGAAATTCTAAAAATCAAAATAATGAGTACTGTAACTATTAGCTGATCCTGTACCTAGAAGAGGCAGCATTCTGAAAAGAAAGTTCCTAAGTTGAAACTACCCAGTTGCTCTGGTAAATAAGTAAACATATTACAAATTGTATAATTTAGCATGTTGCTATTTAAATCTCAGTGCATCCTTGACACATATCAAAGATGAGTTAAGGCTTTTTTTAACTTCACCATTGTCATGTGGATAAATAATGTAAGAAGCATATAGTTAGAAAAACCTATTTGTTACAAAGATTTGAAATGCAGAAAAAGAATGTTTATTAATAATTGTTATTTTATTAGCTATATTGAGCCACAGCTTAGTATTTGAGTTTTGGAACTAATAGAATCACTGATGAAAATGGAATATAAGAGTTAATTTATTTATCTTTCTCATTTCTGCTATAATGGGATGAAGTTAGGATGGCAAGTTTTTGCCATTTATTTTGTAAAGAATAGTCTAATGGTTAATCAACTAGACTTAAAAATAGTAGAAAATTCTACCTTACCTAGAACAACACTTAAAATACCTAAAATGCTACCTCTTTCTTTTTATTGAAATTGTTCAACTATTTAAGATGTTGAGAACCTGTAATATTTCTCAATCATTATGATATCAGGAATAGGCCATAGTTATAAAATTAAACCATGGATCCTTGGCAAATTTGAAAAAAAAATAGAAGTAACACCTTGACTTAAGTTTCTTTGCTTTAAAATATCTGAGTTGGATGATAAGGAGGTTGTCAAGTTGTGCTATTAGGACCAGAAGATGCTATGAAACAGATTCATAGGAAAGAAATTACACAGACAAAAACAATTTACTTAATAATGTTGTTGCTTTGGAAATCACTATTTGTCTTTATTCTCGTAGAAGCCAACTGAAGTGAGGGGAATTAGCTTTTGAAGAAATGGTTATTTTGGTGGGTCTTGAGGAACTAATAAAGATAGAATAAAGAATAAAATAGCTGTCTAGATGAATTCTCATCAGCCATATACTACTTTCAGAGGACAATGTTTGCTCATGTGCTGACACAATTATTAGCTCAGATTTGGTAGATTGATGTAACTTACAGTTACGTAATGGATATATTTGTGACTACTAAATTGAGAGTCATTTTCATGCTAAGTGAATTTAGTAGCGGCTCCAAAAGCTTTAAGAAGATAAAAATTTTGGATAATCCATTAAAATTCCTTCAGTGTACAGTGTTTATTAGAGAATAAATTAAGATTCCTTATGAGATAGAGGGTATGGATGTTGAAGCTTACTTGTGGATGACAAAACTAAAGTTGTTGATTAGAGATTGTATAAAGAGATCATGACAGCAAGACTAATAGATTGTGCTTAATTAGGATGCAAAGAGAACTTTGTAATAGTTATGTTTCTTGCATTCTTTTAAGATTAGTGCCCTGGAATGTGAGTAGAACACAACTGAATAGGGTCAAGAATTAGGGAAACCAGATGGGAAGTCCTTACAATTGTCTGTATGAGACACAAGGAGGATTTGGAATAATGGAATATTTTTGATAATGGAAAGAAGGGTTAATCAAGAGAGAACTCTTTAACTTTTGTTTGCACTTGGGAGATTACAAAACAGATTACAATGGT